AATACCAGGTATATGCAGTATGGCTGGATTTTCGTTCTTTTGCTAGATCTGTAGTTCTCTTCTTTCATCTGAAATATTTCCAAGCAAAAATGCAGCAACCTCTCAGTTTTCGAACAGTGAAATTTTCTAAAATGTAAGTTATATGTGATTGGGATGATACTCCATTTGCAGTCCAGTAAAGAGCTCCTAAGGGTTAGTCAACCTGAGAAAGAAGAGAAAATTTCAAGTACAAATAAAAAACAATTCAGAGAGGATTTATCAATTATGATCGGATGATGTCCAAAGTGGGTAGGACCAACTATAGTGATTCACAGAAGTGAAAGACAGAAAGGCATTGAAGTCTGAAGAGGCAGTGTGAATGCCAGTAGGTGGATATATTGTTAGATCCAAAATTACAGTGGCAGCTGGTCTATTGATAATTGTGGAAACAAAGGAACAAATTCCTACCCTTTTCTGGATAATCGGAAACCACTGAAAGGGTGACTGAAAGATAGTCATGTTGTCATGTTGCCAGGAGCAAGATAACAGTTTCTCTCAGAGTATTTTGGTTCCCTGCAGTTTGGAGAGAGAAGGGTTTAATTACAGATAGATCTGAGCTAAAGCTCTTAATGCAAATATCCCTATGAAGATGGTGCCAAATCAGGACTTTGCCATCTGCACCTGTCTTCAGAAACAGGATGACAGTACACAAGGCAATGGTAGAAGAGCAATATGACTGTAGCAAAGCAGAATTACTGCATCATTTCGCGTGCTATGAGAGATCCCACTGATTAAAAAGGTCATATGGATCAGACACCGTCTGAAAAGTAATAGCTGCTTTTCCCGGCTTAAGTGTGGTCTTAGTGGGATATGACTGAGTTAGAGATGTGGGTCGGAGAATGAGAGAAAAGTTTAGTATGTATTGCTGTGATGTAAGAGTCAAGTTAGACAAATGAATGTTAGAAGATGCCAAAATATATTAAACTGTTACTTCTACCAACATCATCGCAGAGATAGCATGGAGAAGTTAAATGGAAAGAAAAAAGCAATAGATGGAGAAGGGAGCAGTGTCTTGTGAAACTCTGTAATGGAAATAACAGTTCAAGAAGTAAAATGTCACATGGAAAGGGGAGTTTCTGAGAACAGACTTCAAAAGAAGAGGTTAGGAAAGATACTTCACTGAAACAACTAAAAACCTGGATTAATCAATAATTTGGGAAGCTTCAGCGAAATCCAAGTATAAGCTTGAGAGATGGTCTGTTGATGGAGACCGACACTGACGAACAACTACAATGACACAATTTAATCTGCTCAAATAGATGAACACAGTTTTACACTTTAGGTATGGTGATGTTCATGTTTTCATCACGTTAACGTGCACTTGCATGCATACACACACTACTGCATGGTTTGTAGGATGTTGGTATCCTCTTAAAATGCAGCCTGATGGAGATGAAGGCATTCAATACAGTAAACTAATAGATATTGCTACTTATATAGCAGTGAAATCTGGAGGCAAGATTCCTAGAACATTGTGTCTTTTTATCTGTGGAATGAATATCTTAGAAGCATTATTTCTTGAAACTTCTCTACATAAATATATCTACAGCATAAATAAATGTGAAAGCATCTTAGTAATAACAATATGAAATTGTTGTAACTACAACTATAGTGATTAAAGATCTCAGGGTGTTTGGATTCCCCTTTCCTTTATGTTAGTAAGTTGACATGAACCAAGGCACTTCAGTTCTCTATTTCAGCTGTAAGGAAATCAGGACAGGGGTTATGAAACTCGTGTACAAAAATTGCAGGTTCTTTTGAGTGCTTAGGAAGCTGCAACTGATGTACAGAATCAGTGATTTACTCGGTCACATAGTCAGGGATGCTTGGTTGTTGTTTTAAATCCATAGCTACTATGAAGTAAAAGAAAAAATGACACATCTTTTCTCATTTCACAAAGTTCTGTAAGCAAGAGGGTACAGGTACGTGGGGGGCAAATCCCGAAAAAATGGTCACCAGCGTTTTCTGGGATTGTATGATCCTTGAACATTCTCCTGCTAAGTAATTTCAAGATGTCTTGGGAGTTAATGAGTTTGTTAATGAGTTGGAGTCTGTTACATGTAGTTGTTCCCCACTGTGTTACTCATGTAGAAAGTAATACTTTTCTTCTTTGTGTGCTAAAATCTTATTCTTACCCTGCAGTGTAATAAGTGTGGAGAGGTGAAACTTATTGGAATCCATGTTATTTTTATATAGTGAAAGTCTCCTAACAGAAGTATGACATGTTCTGTTTTGCATTCTGTAATTTGACTAAAGAAAGCAATTCAGAAAATATGAAACCTTTTTTCCTTAGTCATTCTGTTTTTTGATAGCCTGCTATACTATCTCAAAACAGAAAGGCAAGAGGAGAGAACACTTACTGTGCAGCATATGTTTTCAGGCAGATCTTAACTGTTTGACAAAATATCAGAATGTAGAAGTGTATTGGCTAATTCTTCATTTTAACCCATTGACACAAACTACAAAACTCTGGGAAGATGCCTCACCCAAACCAGTCTTCGCTGAAATATTTCAGCTGTGTTTGGTGGGCTGTGCTGGGAGACAAGGGGGCCCATTTGCTGCGGTCTGTTGTACCTCTGGTCTTTTTGCTGTTAATAAGTGAGCAGCTTTTGATTAGTGTCAACCACTGAAGTTATCACTTGTTATACAACTGGTGATCAACTCGATGTTGCACAAATAAATGACTCTCTGAACGCAACCTCCCATAAGTAAGGGCTTTGTTTTTTCTCTCCGTCTGCTTTGTAAGTAAATTCTTCCTTCTACAGACCCGTGTGGCTTGCTTCTCTTGCCCTCGAGGACAGCAAAGCTCACTGGTTGGTGATCTCTGCAGGGGTTTGTAGCTCAGCTCTGCTGTTCTCTCCCTCTGTTCCCACTTCTCTGTTCCCTCCCCTACTGTGACTAAATAAATTACCTGTATGACATATTCAGTTTTCTCTGGCAAGAAGCCTGGGAAATCAAATCTGTTCCCGAACCTGGGTCTCCCATTTGGCAAATGTAATGCTTCCCTGCTGTTAAATCAGGTCAGCTCTCAGGAAAAACAAAGAACCTTTTCATATAACTATAATCAACACAGAGTAAATTTAGATAATGCAGCTGACATATGTTTATTGTAAAGACCATCAAGGAAATAATTTTAAAAGCACTTCATCTTTCTCTGTTGCATCAGGATACATGTTGACTGTTCTGTGCATAAAGAAGATCAAACATTTTCTTTCTGTTATCCCATATCAAAGTGAAATATACTTATTTCGTCTGGTCTGAGAAGATATTCGGTGAAACAGTTCATTGGTTGCATTAAACAATTTTATGTATTTAATTACCGTGGCTTTATGTAATTAATATTAATTGATAATTATATGTTAATATTAATTATTCATATCCTGTCCAGTCCCTTTGACTTTTTAGCCCCTGAAAGTGGAGATATGCTTAAAAGTGTTTAGAGGAGGAAAAATACATCCTTTTAATGCATTGTGTTCATTTTTCTACCTTACTGCTCAGTCAGTTTCCACCAGAGCTCAGAGGTCGTGGGTCGGTGAAGGGGCAGCAGCGTCTGTCTCCTGTGTTCCCAGACCCGACGCGTGCCCCAGTGAGGGGCTGGCTGGGCAGCCACTGGATTTGGGCAAAGCACCATTGCGGGCAGCCTCCCCTCTCCAGCTGGAATCTGGATTTCCTGCTCAGCTACACTGCATGTCCCGCAGCGGCTCTGAGTCACACCCCAGGGGCTCTTTCATTTGTCCACTGTTAGTGAGCTCGTGTAAACTGCAGCAGGTCTGTGGAGCATCTCCAGCGACCTCCTGTCTGGCACTATCCTGGTGGGCTTCTGTCCCGGGGAAGCAGAGTGGCTGGTTTCCTTTGGGCAGGCTGTGCTTGTGCAGGTGGTTGCGTGGGGACTGAAACAGCTACCGAAACCCTGAGCTTGCCCCCAGCCCACCTCAGAGGAGGAGAGGAATAGGAAGAGTCAAGTGCCCCGGGGCACTCTTGGGGCTGGTGCAGCCTTAACCTACAAGCGCTCGCTGTGCTGAGTGCCCAGGGGCAAATTTGCTGCCACTTATTCATGAGGGTTGGTAAAAATGGGCATCAACAGCTGTCTTATAGTCTTACACAGTCTTACCACCACCATTACTGACTCAATAGCTGCTGAGTTACAGCTGGGGGCCTTGGCTGGAAATGTTTTCCAACCCCTGCCTGGGTATCGTGTTGTCTTACCTGGAGGAGTCCTGGGAAGAGCGAGCCATGCGAGCCCTCTGCCCAGGGCTGCCCAACCTGCACGGCCTGCGTTTCAAACTGACCTTAACACTTTATTCTCAAAAGCAGATGGGCTCAAACTTATATGTCGTGTTTTTAAATGATAGGTGATTTTCCAGATCTTTTTAAAAACAGCTACAGTGTTACTAGTAATTGTTTAGTCATTCATGAGTTGCCTTTGTTTTAACGAGTACCTTTGTTGTTTCTTCATTGCTCTGAGACACACAGTGAATGCTTTTTCATCAATTTAAAAATCCTTCAAAACTCCATTGTACAAGGCAAATCCTTGAAACTGAAATTGCTCTTTATTGTCTGAAGTCTGCATCCGGTGTGCGCAACAAAGACCAAGAGGTGAAAGCAGTGAAGTAGGCTTTAAAAGAGGGGAGTTTAGTTCGTGCTTCCACCAGGAATGACCTGAAGCAAGGGCCATAATCTCCATCCGCATTGGCTCCTGCCTGAAGAAATGACAGGAGCAATGTTATCTGTCCTCAACTTTGATTTATCAGTATAGATTGCAGATACTGTCTCCTACTGTGAAAGGTACAGGACCTATCTATGAAAGGCTTCAGTTGATACTGTAATAGAACTCGTTTCAGGTCTGTGTTATTGGCAAGGTCAAAGCCTGTCTTGTTCCCTTCTTAGCATCTAGGTTGGTCAAAGGGTGCGCTGAGCTTGTTCTAACCCTGCTGTATTTCTTGTATTCTCCAGCCTGTGACCTGATGACCCTGGGGATCTTGGCCTTAGTGACGTCCACTGGTTGTGCCTCGGCCAATGCCCTGCAGTCCCTGACGGATGCCATGCACATCCCCCACCTCTTTGTCCAGCGCAACACGGGAGGCTCTCCGCGCACAGCCTGCCACCTCAACCCCAGCCTGGAGGAGGAGGAGTACACGCTGGCCGCCCGGCCGCCGGTCCGCCTCAATGATGTTATGCTGAAACTGGTCACTGAGCTGCGGTGGCAGAAATTCATAGTATTTTATGACAGCGATTACGGTAAGTAAAGTGGAGAATTTCAGATGCTGTTAAAATGATTTCTTTTTAACTGGGAAATGGGCAGGAAAATATAAAGGGAGGGGTGGAACATAACTTGCTGAGCTCTTCTTTGACAAAGGGGGAAAGGGTTTCAAGCGGACACAGGTCTTTGGTTTGAAGGAAAGGTTGCTGTGAAAACTAGTTCTCAGACAAGCAGCAAAGTTGCTTAGCAACACCTACCAAGACAGCCAAAGTTTGAATCATCTCACACTTTTTCAGTAAAATATTAATAAAGTGTTGACATTGATTGGCAGTGGTCACATAGCTCTGCAAGGAAGTTCAGCATGGTCTCTACCCATTCCCAGAAAACACTTTCTATCAAAGCTGAGTACTGTTCTCTTTAAAAATTAATTTTCACAGTAACTATTACCATTTCTTTTTTCACATGCTTCCTCCCACTATTCTCCTTTTGGACTAAATTTCACAGTGATTTACTTCCTGGCATTAAACCAAAAGTTAGAGTGAGCATTTTTGCTACATCTGATGCATTTCCTTCAGCAAAATTCTTACCTTGGGCTGAAACTGGAGGAAAAGGAGCCTCTGCCCAAGCAAACTTAGTACCTGAAGATGGGTGTAAATAAACAATGAAAAAATACGTCTCATTGCGTCAAGCTCTCAGAGTGAAAGGAAACTGTGTGCATAATTATTTTTATCCATTCCCCCCCCACTGATAGGAACACCGTTCCGTATGTTTAACTCATAGTATTTTCAGCACTGTCATCTTAGGATATAGAATCTGTAGTGGGGAAAATAAATTTTCTACGGTGTGTTTTGCAAAACCTTTTGGTTTAAAATCCAAAGCATATGCTTTTGGTGTGGTGACTTACTATGAACAGAATGCACAGAAAGGAAATTAAAGTTAAATTGAAGTTGGAAAAATAATCTTATAAAGATCTGTGCACATAGTTTAAATTTTACACAGCCTTTCACAATTGCAGAATAGGTCTTTATTTGTATTCTCCCTATATAATGACAGATTTTCAGTGGTGAATCAGAGAAATAACAGCTTTACTTTTAGGTGGGCTACTTCTGGTTTAAAAAAAAAAAAAGACAAAACAAACCCAAACCAAAAAGGCTATGCAAAGTGTCCTGAGCTTGAATGAGTTTTGAAAGTCTTGGATTCAGCTTTCTGCTCTCAGATGTTAAGAGATGTCACTTGCTGTTTCATCAACATGCAGATTGAAGATGCTGATGGTGGGAAATCAACTGAGGCTTTAACATCATTTTAATTATATCGAATTATTTTAAGCATGAGAAGGCTACTGTGATACTTGTAGAGTTAATCTGTAGACTTGAAAATCTAGCAACCCAGCAAATAAACTGCCATGTAATTACTATCCTGTGTAACACTTTACCAGTGAATGCCTTGAAAGCAAAAACTACAAAACAAATGGTAGATGTTCTTTTGGTGGCCTTCTGGTAGTGATCAGAAACTTACTCTGTGATTTGGCTTAAAATGATAAAATTAGTTATTCCCAAGAATGAAAAAATTTCTTAAAAGGATATTTTAGGAATATCCTTTTATAGTTACTGTTGTTTCTCTCCTGCTCATTTGTAGCTTTAATCTTCCAAAAGTGCTTGAGTCAGGGATCTTCAAAGGGTGCAGTTGCAGCCCCTCAGAATCCTGTCCCTGTTAACACCACAGATGTTCTATGTACAAACCGCTGTCACCTGTTTTCCCTGGTAGCAAATCTGGTTACTGAACAGTGGTAGCACTTACTCCAGTAGTAGATCCATGTTTCTTTGCCTCTCTCTGCAAAGGGTTAACAACTCAGCACCAAATCCTGAAACCCTTTGTCCTAGTTTAACCTGTCAGTCAGTAACTAAGCACTAGACAGCTGCTTGCTCACCCCTCCCCTTCCCCCTGGTGGGATGGGGAAGAGATGTGGACAAAGGGGAAAATTCATGGGTTGAGATAAAGACAGTTTAATAAGGAAACAAAGGACATACTAACACTGATAGTAACAATAGAGATGATAATAAAAGTTATAATTATGAATATACAAAACAAACTAGATACAATATAATTTTTTTCTCACTACCCGGTGACTGAGTTGCAGCCTGAAAAAAAGTTAGAACTCTTGGCCAAGAGAGGGTTCAAACTCCTGGAAACCAAGAAAAGCAGATAACTTCTTGCCCCTCGGCCAACCCCCATTCATAAACTGACCGTGATGTCTGTGGTACGGAATATTTCTGTTGGCCAGCTTGGCTGTCTGTCTGGCAATGCTCCCTCCCAGCTCCTGCACCCCTGCTCATTAGCTGAATATGAGAAACTGGAAGAAGTCCTTGATTTCATAGCAGAACCTGAAAACATCAGTCTTGTCAACATCCTTCTTGTACTAAATCTGAAACACACAGCTACTGGGAGGAAAATTAACTCTATCACAGCTGAAACCAGGACACCTTTAATTCACATACTGTGTAAATTCAGTTTTGATCAAACTTATCTTTTCCATTTATCACAGACTGATCTTCAGTCTGTACCAGTAAGACAGACACTAAAAGGGAATGGAAAATTGCCATGGGCATCCTGCTCCTCATAGTGGAGAAAATATTGCATACTGCAGCTACCCATGCACTGTTGTCTTGGTTTCTCTTGGGTACAACAACCATCTCATATTAATTTCACTGAAAGATTATTTTTGGTGAGAATTTGGTGGGAGGAGTTTCCGTAAAGAAGCCAACTGATGCTTGCCAGCTCTAGTGAATAGGGGAATAAATAACCTTGTTTCCAAGATATGGCACACTGAGCTCAAGGACAGCAGCCAGGCTCCTCAGGCGTGTCCGCTGCCCTTGTTCATTAGTTTCAGCAGGGCTGTGCTTATGCATCTCCAGCGACACCTCCCCACTCAATGTGTGGGAGTCAACTGCTAGCTGTGAGCAGGGAGGTCACTTGAAGAACACACGTTTATGACTACACATAGTTTCCAGCATAGGGCTTTTGTGGTTTACTGTAATAAGTGGTCCTTCTCTACCTGCTCTCTGGACATTATACTATTCCCTTGAGTAACGATTTAATTTGTCCATCTGCTGATCTCTAGAAATCAGCCAATCCCTTGGTGTCCTCCTTGTGGAAACTGCCAGGCTTGCTAAAGACAAAATAACGTTGCATGGTTTGAAGTCGTCCTGTGTTTATAGTAATGCTGTGCTATGCTGGAACTGGAAATTATTTACCTCAAGAATTACTTTTCCCTTATCAGACTTACATTTTGGATTATAATTTATGCACTGGCTAAATTAAGGAAAAGTAACAGACTTGGCAATTAGAAATACAGAGCAATCACTGGACAGTGTAACAAGCCCTCTAATATTGTTCCGCTTACAATAAAGCACACCTTGTTTTACAGGGAAGTTACAGATAGAAATCTGTGTGCACTACTTCAGTGAAAGAATATGGTCCTTTCCAGTAAATTGCTTTAAATGCTGTAACAAGAAATAGAGAGTTCTCACAGGAAAGATGTGCAAGTTTTTTATATAAAAAAAAAAAGTTGCTAAATGGAAGTGGTAGAGGCAAGGTACAAACTGTGGCATTCTGCCTAACGTGAAACCAGCTTTTAGATTTTGTCAGTTTTGAAGAAATGGGTAATAGCTTGGTTCTGGAGAAGCGACCTTTCAAAGACCTCAGACTTGCGAGTTGCAGCATTCAAATTCTTCCGGATGTTACGCTCTTCTCCTCCTAGGCAGTACCAGTGGGGGAAAGGTCAGCTGATACATACCCATGCGTATTTGTGTAAGAAAAGAGAAGGGTTCACGTGGGTCCTGTAGCTTCATGACTTAGCCCTTGTTTTTCACTTTTCTCATTTATGGTTTGTGCATCATTTCAGAAGGTGCATGGAAGTCTACTCCCCATGATCACAAGGGGAGCTTTCTGCTGACGAGACTGCTACCTGGTATGAAAATGATAGCTGGGCACTATAGCAATTGAGCAAGTCACAGCTAAGATAAGACAAGTCTCCACTCTTGCTGTTGTGTTGTAGAGCTGTTGGAGCTCAAGGCCAGAATGCGGCGGTGTGAGGCCCCTCTCTGTCCCTGCTGTTCTTTGCCATGCTGTTTTGAGAAGGTTTTCTAGCTCCTGTATGGTTCCCTTTCCCATCTGGGAAACGGAAAGAAAAACCTTCCTCCCGGTGTGACTGAACTGATGTTTGAAATGTCTTTAGAAATTCTTTAGGCAAGAGAATTAAGTGGCACATTCAGGAATAAGGCAATTCTACTAAGAGCTCAAGGGACCAGGGTTATGTTAAAGGCATTATTTTACTTTAAAGGTCTGTGTGAAAATCCCATGCTAAATCATGCTACTTGACATTAATTTTCAGGGGAAAAAAAAATGAATTGACCCTAAGCTTGCCAATGGCTGTCAGATGGTGCTCTGTGGGACTAGGTCTATCCACCTGTTAAAGAACCTGCAACAGAAGTCAGATCTGTTCTGTCATCTGAAAAAGCTTCAACTGTGCTGATGTGTTTTGAGCTGCGTTTTCCTCTAGAGGAGCATCTTTTGTACCTCTACATACATTGCACCAGTGTGTAAAGGCCTGCTGGGAAATTTAATGTTGTATTTTGCTGTCCTCCTGGGTATAGAAGCATCAGTAATCAAATTTTCTGACACAAAAATTGGTAGCGTGGCAAGTTTCATAAAGAATCTTATCAAGCTCTGAAATGACTATAAGCTAAAAGCCGTGAGTGCTGCCCATAGTAAGGTGAGTTTGGGTAGTACAGTTGAAAGTGTGCTTCTAGGGTGAACAAAGAAATAGCTGTATGGCTAGAGAAAAGATTTGAGGTTTTTTTTGGAAGTGAAAATGAAAACAATGAGGAATACCAAGTCATATTTCTGAAGAGAAACGTTGACTAATAGCTGTGTTTTCACTAGATTAATCTTACAGTTGGAAAACACTTGTTCTCTGTAGTTATACTAAGACTCCCTGCTTTCCCACATACATGAGCACGTACCCATATTACAAAATGTA